GCATCAGCGGCGAGTCACAATGAACAACGGCACCCCGTCCCTCAAATCGCGCCATAAGCAAGCTCCCAAGAGATTTTACGGTTCCATTAAACGACAATCGCCGCGCCAAGTACTTTCAACGGTGCAACTTGAGGTCATGATCGTCGATCGAGGCGGACAGTGGCGGTGGCAAAACCATCAAAAAGGAATTATAGATAGATCGTATTGAACTACAAAGTAAGAAGGATAAGTTTGGATTAAAAACTCGTCATGGAACAAAGGTGGGTGGAGGAGAGCCAAAGACAACGACCAGAAAACATATGAGGACAGTACGACAGGAAACATCAACCAACTTCCCTCAGTTGCGCTTGCGCCAAGGCCCGGGCATGCACATGCACATGCTTCGGCTTCTCCACCGTATGGCACACTTCAATTCCTTGTACCCAGGGCTGCTTCATGATCTCCTCAATTGGCACCCTCAGCTTAGGATTCGGTTCCAGCATCATCCGAATCACACTCCGACAAGCTCGCGGAGAGAGATTATTGATCGTTGGAGGGAACACGGTAGGAGCCGTGCACGCAGAAGCATACGCAGAGTACATCGCATCGCTCTGTTGGGCCGCCCGCCAAGGCAACTCTTGGAAGTGAAGGCAGTAGTACACCACCCCACACGCCCATATATCAACGAGCCGGGCATCGTAGGCTATTTGAGGGTTCCGGTATAAGAAAAGGCCGAGTGAAAGTAACAGCACTAGTCAGAAACACCCGGAATGATAGCAAAGGGGTTTCAAGGCTTACGTTTGCCTAGGAACTGTTCCGGCGCGATGTAAGGTTCACTTCCACATAGTCCAGTCGACATATGGATGGTGGCCTCCCAAGGTAGTCGATAAACTGTCGAGGCACCGTAGTCACCAATCTACGAGATAAGTCAGACAATGTGTACGTCATTTGAGGCGGAAATGAAAGACCTTAAGGTGTCCCTTCGTATCAAAGAAGAGATTCTCAGGCTTGAGATCTCTGTGGGCCACGCCCTGGCTGTGCAGATACGCCACACCGCTCAATATTTGCTTGAAGCAACACTCGACCTCGCTCGGTGACATTCCGCCCTTTTTGATGGCAGCGTACAGATCACCACCAGGACAAAACTCCATTACCTCACACCAATGCTGGCTCTCGTCTTGGACAAGGTCGACAGTCTCAACAATATTGACGTGGTGTAACGTTGACGATATACAAAACTCCGCTGTGAGCTTTTTGATATACTCCTTCTCCGTTTCGTTCTTGCGGCGCTTTCGGAACTCCTAGCTGATCATGAGAGGGGAGAAAGCAACAAATGACAAGCAACTGACCTTGACGGCGTACAGCTTCTCCTCGCTCCTGTCCCACTTGTGGGCGAGGCGGACGACGGAGGTGGCGCCTTTGCCGATCGCAATCTTCTGGCAGACGCCGTACTTTTGCGACAGGCTGGCAGTACTCTCACCCGCCGTTGACCGTGGGCCCTGCCGTCCACCCGCATCACTGTCTCCGTCAGACTTGCGACTGCTTCCTCCTGTTGAGCGCTGGGAGGACTTGCGAGCAAGCTTGGGGCCATTAGCAAGCAGATCCTTGAGCGTAAATTTGGTTCCCCCCCCGTCCTGTGAGTGAACCGAGGGTGCCTTTGGACGCAGTGTAGCACCCGACCCGTTGACGGGGGAGGGGGCGGGCTTGACTGGGCCACTGGTGGGTTTGTTAGGCTTTGGTGTCAGCTGGGGCTTCGCGTCAGCGCCAGCGGACATGCTGGGAGCCCGGCTGGGCGCACGGCTATTGGCGCGAGTAGACGGAGTGCTCTCCCAATCTGATTCTGACACAGTAGGTGATGAAGCGGTCGAACCGCTGTTGGAGGAAGTCATGGATGCTTGTTTGATATGATTGGCCTCGGAAGCAAGCCGCTGAAGGGATATAACGGTGTTCCCGGGCTGCTTCTCGTACGCTCCGGCCTCTGGCGGTGGTATTGGAATGTGGAGGGCGGCACCGTTGGCAGGCTTAGGTCTGGGCTTATCGTGGGGTTTGTCAGAACTGTCCGGGCCGTCGCCGTCGGTCTGAGTGGTTTCTGTCGAGGAAGAGTCCTGGTCTGTCATGTGTCCAAGGCGGTCCAGGCGGTGGTTGGGTGTTGTAATGGCCGTTGTGGTAAAGGTAATGGTGGGCGAGTTAATGAGGAATACAATTAATGAAATGAGAAAGGGCTGCTGGTCGTGGAGCTCAACTTAGAGCGATATCATGACGTCCGGGTGGGTGGGTCAAGGCAAATGCGAGGCTGGCTGTAGATATACGACGAGACGGCGTGAATGGGTGTAGTACCCCTCTCGCCGTCGACAAAAAATAGCCTTGACGCTGGTCGACGACGACGGAGCTCGTTGCAGTCGCTGGCGGTGATGGTGGTTTGCGGTAAAGAAAGTAGAGGGAGGAAGGAAACTTACTACTTTTAGTCGATCACGTAAGCATCATTCTTTATCCCTGTCTTTTTCTGCCTCAAGGCAGAGCTAAACAAGAAACAAATTTTGGTACATAAATCACAAATGGAAATGAGAATATCTGATAGCAAGTCAAGTTCGCCTCATGACCATACCCATCAAATTCGATGATATTGATAACGACAGTACAAGACTGACTCGGGACACACTGCATCCTCCCGATTCAGCAGGGAAATGAAAACGGACAAAACGGTGTTCGTTCCAGCTGCTTTTTGCTGATCGCCGAAAGCTTGTGGAACCTTCTCTTCCTGGTACTCTATCATCTGAAGAACGTTGGTCAGCGCACCGACTCGCTGTACCAAATGGCGAAAATAACGCGACCACCGGAAGGGAACATCCGAGACTATTGCCTCCATGGAGCGTGTACTCTCCGTCTGTCTTTTGTTTTCCCTGGTGTCGGATCCAGTAGCCTAAGCTTGTTTGCTCTAGTTCAGCATAGATGCGAGTGCGAGAGGCGACCCATCCCTGAGTCTGAATCAGCAGAGATGGTCCGTCGAGTCTGGTCCGAGTCGGCGGGGCATCATGGCGTTTCCTGATGACAGACTCGACATGAGGCCCAGCAGGTCCACGCTGCTTCATGCGATGCGGCCTTGAATGAGACGTGCAAGCAACGTACGCTTTGGGCTGAATCTATGACGAAAATATTAATTCTGATTGCGGCAGTATCAATCAAATACATTCATCACTCTGACCTCATATGTGCCGGTAACGCCACCGTACACACACAGGTACAAGGAAACCAGTGCCTATTCATAGACACGAATCAGAGACCATATCGACACGAAGGCGGAATGGGATCCACTTACGCAGGACCGCGTATTCGAAGGCCATCAAACCCCGCGTTTGCAGCTCCAGACTTCCCTCTACGCTCGGAATCGACACGAGAAACATTCCAGAGAAGGAACCGTAAAGCATCATTCGATATCGCAAGTCAAAATCCATCAATTACATTATGAATTGCCCCGAGCTGGGGGCATTTGCGGAGATCATGGCGCTAACGGTTCGGTCATGACATCTGGCATGCCTTAAATAGTCAAAGGTTCCCGAGCTCCAGATAGGTGGATAGCCGACCAACGGCCTCTGCAATGCTTGGCGTCGTCAGTGATCTCGGAGACAAATAGTGAGCATATTCATGTCCGTAAACAAGCTTCGCGCCAAGTGCTTGCTCACCGCATCAAGACTTCGCGCTCGAGCCTACTGGCTGGGAGGTAATAGACCGGATTCTAGCCTAGTGCCTGGCATGCCTATTCTTTACCAGGAAACAGAAGCAGGTCACAGCGGTGGGCGCTGGTGAACGTAGGAAGTAAGAAGGATGTTGCAGAAGAACAGCAACATGGTCGTTTGATGCATTCGGACCATCGGTACCTTATCGGCCGAAGCTCGCGCCCCGAGCATCATCCACGCCGACACCAGCTCATCTCGCAGTCCCGCTACCGACTGCTTTGCTGCGCTATTTTTACCCTCCTGTCAACAAATAGATTGCAAATTTATCGTAATCAAAAATTACTATGGTGACTTTTCACATTCCCTATCATTGATTCATGTCGTACAGTCGAGCAACGTTCGTGGATCCTCAATATATTCACCAAAATATATCCATGCTAGAGTTGACTTGAAATACGCACCTCAAATATCCCATGCAGTGCCGCAGCACTTTTTGCCCGCTCGCTGCTGACTCTGGCAGTGGTGAATCTAATTCTGTCTGGTGCTTGTCGATTATCTCTAGTCTGAAGCTATGGTCGCTTTAGACTCTGTGGGTTCATCTAGTAGCGATCCATCTGCTGTTTTTACGTCCCGCAATATCCTAATTCCGCTCGAGCACGAAAGGACGCGAAGAGAAACTGCACGAACACAGCTGAACCTCGTCGTGTGGCAGCTGTATGCACGGAGTGAACCTATGTCGACAGTTGACGTGCCAGAAGATCTAGCTACACTTGAAGTTTTTCCGCTGGGGACGACTAACTGATGATCATCCCGCGCTGTACTGTCTTTTTGGGGAGCCGCTCAACTAACACGAGGTAGCCCATCTTCTGTTCGCAGCATACCCGACAATACACTTGCGGCGGATTCTGCAGGTCAAACCCCGAATGTTTCCCAGTGCTAATATGAGGGATTTTGTTCAGCAGGCCATCTTCTCCCGTCGATGCCATATGCACTTAACCATGGGAACCTGTCTTTCAGTCTCTTTAGGAATGGCGCCACCCATACAACCCTGCTCGTGGAAATGTTCGGGGTGTTCAAACGTCCATACGGCAGTCCTTTGCCCTCATCAGGGATCGACCACGTCGAGACTTTCATCCAAGCTCCTCAGAAGGCCGAGCTAATACATTAGTGGGAGTGATAGTGTCCTTGCATCAGAGCCACCGCATTGCAGAAGTTCACGAGGTCCCTTCGCCGTCATTATTACAATACGGCTCTTAGCGGTGGGTTGCAACTTCGTTTCGAGTGTAGATTTTGCACCGCAAAGATGGAATCAGTACATCTGACTCTATATGTAAGACTCCTTACATAACGCCGATGGTGAAACGGTTATCATGCTTGCCTTCCATGATTCATTAGCAAGCGGTAGGGGTTCGACTCCCCTTCGGCGTATGATGGCCGACTTGTATTTTTTTTGCTTTTCTTCCTTTGAGTCCCTGGGCCTGGATCCCTTTACATAGCGTTGCGCATGAAACCTCCGGTAACCACTCCCCTGGAGCATTGGTTTTGCCAAGGTAAGTTACCGTTGCTTACCTCCCACGTGCATAGTCACATGACTCTCTTATAGTAATTGCAAATTCCCTTTCAGAACCTTCAATGTTCGCGTTTTGACATATTTTTTAGTTGTAAAAGTTATTTTCACTTGTAAATATTGTTGTTGGTGCAAAAATATGATATACATGTAGTTGTACTGAATTATTTACGCCCAAGTGACAGTCACATGATAGATAAGTTGCTGGTAATGAACCCAAGTGCAACGCTACGTTTTGTGCGCTACCCTCCATAAGGCCTAAGGCCTAACGGTTAGTAGCCCGTGGGCCGTTACTCGAGCCCCGGCTAGGTGACTGGTCACTGAACTTTGAAGTTTGAACACAGAACTGGAGTCTGGCGACTCTAGCCACTGGCGAGCAAAGAGTTTTTGATACGATAATATATGGTTTACTGATAGAGTGTCCATCATGTGTCCATGCCACACAGCAGCTAGTACTGATCCCCCCCAAATCTTCGTCTTCACAATTTTCTTGTCTTGGTGTCGGCTAGAGCACCCGAATAACTACATTTTGTACTAGTAGGAATATTCATAACGTATCATGTAGCTCCCAGATTGACGAGAGGAATTGGGAATCATCATGTGGATAAGGTACTTCAGCGAAAATCCCTCTAGTGAGAGGAGGTAATGGTAATATTATTAAACATACGTAAGTTCATGCACTGCACCAGGCCGATGTATCGGTAAGAAATAGTGACATATAGCTTGGTGAATAGTTGTAGCGTTGAATGATATATTATAATACACCCGGTGTAATACAACCACCGGTCAGTCCAACCCTAGTTTTCCAGTGTAACTTTATACTTGAGTTCCACGACTGGTGGTACATACCGCCCGAGATCAGAATGAATATGCCGTGGAAGAATATTGGAGAAATTCCCAAGGGCACCGCGGAATTGTACTGTTCTCATACTTCTTATCTTTCAAACAACTAACCGAGTGAGAGCCTCGAAGGTCGTGTAAGCGCTGACCTTATTCTTGACGCCTTCGTCCCAAACCTTCATCAACAAAGTTGATTGCAGATCGGTTATGCATGATATACTACTATTGGTGTTGGGTCATTTGCGATTTTGACAGCAACAGTATTGGGGATATAGCGCCGAAACCAAATATCTTTGATACTGTGGGGCGCCTGGCAGAGGTACTTGGAACCCTTGATTTCTGTCGAATATTTTTAGACGCACACGGCGCCTGTGTTATTATAAGCACTAGTCGCAGGTAGACGAGCAGTATCGGAAAGGGGACGGAATTGACGCCGTACACGGTGGTATTCGATGGAGTTGATTTTCACAGCTCGGTGTCGTAAAGATAACGGTGGAGCAGATGAAACATTTGACAGGGTACATCCATTTGTGAGGGAATTTTTTCAGGGCATTGATGCGTCGAGGATGGTTTACTAGACAGGCCGCGTTACGCATATCTCCCTCACGGCAATCTCTGGCAGTTCAGTGTTCTGAATTATGGAGACAAGAGATGATCAAGAAGCTCCGAGTTCATGAGAAGATGGGTTTTCCTGTAATATGGAAATTGGGCGTCCCGAGAGTATGGATCTATAAGGACGGAATCGTCGCCTGGACCTCGATGCTTACTAGTTACTGGCCGTCAGGGAGAGCGTGACTAACGCATTGCAGTACGGCCCACCGTGGGACTGGGGTACATAGTTGGATGAGGAACAACGAAATCAGGAGACGTGAAATTCAGAAGTCAACCCCAACCCTCAGAGAGGATCGTAGCAATGGAAGAAAGACTGTGCTAGAAGGGCCAATGCCGGTGAGCCTGAGCACTCCAAGTGAAGCTTAGTAGCTAATAAAGAGCCAGAATGTTCAATGGAGATGTCTGATGGGCTGGCACTGGGCAGTCTGATGGAGTTTCGGTAGTAAGAGATCAACAACCAGTGAAAACTGAGATGATACACGCGATTCGACACGGACAAGCGATGTAAGTACTCGTCAGTGGTATAGAACACTTCGGCGGGCGGCTTTGCTGAGGCAGAAGTTGGAGGCAGCTGCTTAGTAACTGTTAGCACTTGCGGCTACTTCGGGCCGAACGTCCAGACGCCCTGATACGCGTCACCGACTTCCAGCGCTTTCATTAACGACTACCAGATATCTTCTTCTCTCTACCTCCATGACTTACTAATAGTCAGTGGCTGTTCCCCTCACTCTATTCGACATCACATTAACTGTTCTGCAGACATCATGCTCCCCATCTTTGGCGACGAACGACGACGAAATATCAATCTGGGCGGGGCATCGTCTGCATCAACGCAAGCGACCATCCTAGATCAAGCAAAACAGCGGAGAATCCTTCGCGATGAGCAGAAACGGCAACACGAAAATGCAGTAATTCTCCAAGCGTGGTGGCGAGGCGTTCGAGAAGCGAGATTAGTGCGACGTCAGATGAGAATGACCTTTGAGAGCGATGTGATGGGCATTACTGGGCTACGATGTCTCGTGCTCATCGGACAAGACGAGGAGGCCATGGGGGTATGGTCGAATGCGATGCTGGCGCAGAACCCAGGTGAGTAACCTCGGCGCCACTTTGCTGTTTCGTCACCTAACAACATTGAAGATAGTTTTACAACATTGTGTTCGGATAAGAGCTGGGTGGTGCTTGTGAGGCAGCTAAGCCTTCGTTTGCTGCGTTCTGTAGCCACAGCGCCCCAGTAAGTATCTTATTTTATTCATCTACCCAACCCCCCAAAGTGTTGAAATGCTGGATAGCTCCGTCACTGACTTGGTTATCGGTTGCTCGTATACTGATGCCATCTGACACAGATCGTCAAATGCTGCCTCTCACCTCAAGGTTCTCACGATGCTGACACAGTCGTCCATATCTGCGGACGTGATGCGATATCTGCTGTCGCATGGCGGGTATGGATTATTCTCCAGATCTATCCTTGGCATGCAGTGGAAGAATTCACTGCAACTTCCTCTCTTGGTCCCCTTACTGACCGCATCGTTCACGATATTCCCCCCACCATCACCAGAATATCTCCAAGCGATAATAGGGTTGTTTTCTGATATCTTGACCATAGCACTCCTCCCCAACCGAATGCCCATACCATCCCTAATGCACTTCTCCTCCGCTCTCCCCTTTTCCCAGCTGCCACTTCTTGAACCACACTTTTCCGTCATTTGTACAAAGGACATAGAGTCTAAAGTCAATCTTATCGCCAACCTTCTTGCATTTACCCCTCCAGCTCGCTACTCAGTACTTACGGCGGTACTCCCTTCTTATTTGTCGCTTCTGACGGCTGTCTTTAACTCGTTGCCTGTCAATGCATTAGATCCGCCAGCAGCGAATACCAGCAGCTGGTCGCTCGAGGACTCCGATGATGAGGATAACCATCCTTTGGTGTCAGTAGTAACAGATTTCAATGCGGCCCCCCTTCCCACATTAGACCCTCGCACCATAAAACGCTTGCAGACTCTTCATTCTCCCGCACACCTTAGCTCGATCATCGCTAACTGCCGCTCATCCATCATACCTTTCATCCTTTCTTTAACGAGCGTGTGGCCAGCAAAACGTGACGGTGTGCTCACTGCTGTACTGATGTCCACCGGATCCGGGTTTTTGAGAGAGTTATATCGAAACCGCGTTCGATCTTTACCAATAGGCAAAGATGAGAATCCGGGCGCTGTCATGGATCCTGCATACGCAGATGCTTGGCCTTCGCTTCTTTTGTTGGTGGATCTGTACACACAGTCGTTGTTGACAATGGGTGACGATGAGTTCTTCGGTTCATCGGGCACAAGAAATCCTCTGACGCTGGATGATCTGACGTCATTTAGTCGCCAGTTGTTGAATATAGCATTCATACTCTATTGGCGGGATGATCAGACAGGGTTGCAGAAAGAGATGGTGTGTCCAGACGTTCGATGTACATGGGAGGGTGCTAGGGAGAAAGTTACAAAGTGCTTGTTGGCGATTCATTCTCGAGAGTAAGTTGCTGACGCTTTTCATGGCTCCTGAATATTCAAGAAATCTCACAGTTCTCGCAAACCGTTCGTTCCACCCGAACATTGGCTTGTTAGTTCTCAAATTGATATGAACGGCTTCATCGAAGCTGCTGTGTATGTCCATTTATTCGCGACCATTTGATAATGAGGATATTGACGCTTATTCTTTTCCAGGTATGAAGATCAAATATTATCTGATGACACCTCTACGAAAGCCCCTACGAAGCGGCAAATGGCGCTCTTGTCACCTCGACTAGGTGTCCTCAACAACATCCCTTTTGCCATCCCATTTGACGTACGGGTGTCAATCTTCCGCAACTTCGTCCTCAACGATTCGCGCAAGCATAGTGACGACCTACTCTCTCTCAGGTATAACCGGACGGCCGTCAAAATTCGGCGAGACCATATTGCAGAAGATGGGTTCGACAAGCTCGGCGACGCGAACTTGAAAGACCACGTGCAAATCACATTCATAGACAAGTTTGGAGAGCCTGAGTATATTGATTTGTCAAGGCTACGTCTGAATCAGGCTAATGTTATTCCGAATGTAGGGCTGGTATTGACGGTGGAGGGGTGTTCAAGGAATTCTTTACGTCGCTTTGCAAAGAGGTCTTCGACACAGACCGGGGGCTGTGGTTGGCCAACAACAACAATGAGTTGTACCCAAATCCACATGGATATGCCAGGGAAGGTGGGTTAACCGGGTTGTTAGGTTTCGGTTTCGCAATAACTGATCTTTGTTCGTAGTTCATAGCCTGAGCTGGTACCGCTTTATTGGGAGAATACTGGGGAAGGCTATATATGAGGGTATTTTAGTAGACGTGGCATTTGCCGGGTTCTTCCTCGCAAAGGTAGACTCTAATTTCGTCAAGGAACCCTCC